CCCAGTTCGAACTTTTTAGCTATTCATCCAAGTAGTGCAGAAACGTTGTTGAGTACACAGTACATAGGCAGAACATGAATCCCTGCACTACAGGAGGTCAACTAACCTGCCTCATTTCCTCATCCCATTTGGAGTATGATGCACCTCCAGACATGCATGGAATGAACAGTCTCTGAATTCCTTTGAACACATGGATTACAACTGGTTAGCTCTTGCCCAGGCCTTACAAGGTAGTGAAAGAAGCTAGTGGCATTCTCCTGCTCCTGGCTGTATTCCAACACACTGACCCACACATTTGTTCAGAGCACCTTTTCCCAAGCCAGCCAGAAAACTCCAGCCCTGCATCTAAGTTCAACATGTAAATGAGGAAGTCACTGCTGAAGCAGAGGTGACTTCCACAATTGTTTGACAAATGTTTCTGTATACTGCAGCTTATTAGGAAGATAAAAGTATGAGCCTCAAGGTAATGACTGTACCCTACATTTCAGCATATTAATGAATAATGAATGTACATGTTCTTGAGAAATACCCTATGTTCCTAATATTTTTCCCTTGTTCTAAATAAAATCATAGTGCTTTTTTGTATTCTAGGGTTTTTTTTAAATGACCAGGGTGGGGGGATGGGAAAGTAATATACTCGTTTAAAAATAATGTCATCTTTTGGGGGAAAAAATCCCTGATTGTTTCAGCAAAATGGCCCTAAATCATTTATGAAAATATATCAGAGAATAATTTCCAAATGGATTTCTCACTCACAATAGTATTATGTGCAAGCCTGTCATAGCCCAGATACTTTAGTTTGACCTGGTTTGTAAAAGGATATTCAGAACTGCAAAATGTAATGTCAACTTTCATTAAATCTTTGACAAATGTATGTGCTCATTATTCAAACAGTGTTTCCACTGGCATATTCTATTTATCCTCCACTGCTTTGCTGAAGGTTTAGAAGTACCAATTCCTTGGGAAGACTACTTGTGTTTTTGGACTCTTTTTTCTGTTTCAATGACCTTTGAAAAGGACTATCAACAGCCTAATGTTGAGTGCTATCTGAACAAATATTCTAGCTTTTAAAAGTTATTTTAGGATATCATTATTATGATGTGGTGTGTCTCAGTAGATGCTGAGTATTTTATGGAATTAACAAGTTTATTATAATAATTTAATACACTTTGTTTATATTCTCCTACAGTATCCACAGTCTTGCTTATTTAGATGATCAAAAACAACACTGAATGTAATACCACAGTTGAAATATATATATAAACTAATGTGCATATAAAAACTCATTGTCATAATTAATTTTTAACAGAGAAAGGAAGAACTAAATAAAAAAGGATACATGACTTAGTACATTGTGATTGTGTCCAAAAACTGAGGAGTAATATTGTGCACATCCAATAGGAAGAGCAGCCTTCCTAGAATGTCTTGATTAAGAAGGACTGAATTTCTATCTTCCATCAAAAGCTCTGCCAGAATAACATAGCTGGCGAAAAAATATTATCTATTCAGTGTGCATTTAAAACAACAATGTCTAAAGCCAAATTTCCCGACTTGGGAAAAAAGTCTCAGGTGTAGCAGTGTTAGTCTGTAACTTTAAAAATAACATTTAGTCCTGTGGCACCTTAGAGACAACAAAATTATATGTTTTTGGTAGTCTCTAAGGCAGGGGTGGCCAACCCATTCTGGGCAAAGAGCCAAGATATCAGTGGAACCAGCGTGAAGAGCTGGGGACCTTTAAGAAAATGCTTTTAGAGACTTTTTGGCCACATCAGGCTCCTGCCGGCCGACGCCATCTTTAATGGCTGTGCCAGACAGCTCCCCACCCAGGTCAGCACAAGAAGCTGGGAGGAGAAGGCCATTTTGTGGGGTATGGGGACAGCTTTATGAACCATGGAGGGGGGAGGGCTTTGTGAGCCGCACCCAATGGCGGAGGAGAAGAGCCGTGGGTTGGCCACGGCTGCTCTAAGTTGTCATAGGACTACTCGTTACTCCTTGGAGACAAAACTTGACTTTGCCAAGGCTACATGGAAAGGGTAATGTGTAGCCACGTTGCTCCAAGAGCACATCAGAGAAAGAAATGTGACTCTGAAAAAGAGGAAGTAATTTGCTATTGGCTAACACCAATAGCAGACTACTTCCCTTTCTGCATCAGTTCTCTGGTTAGAGTGTGGAGAAGAAATGACTGTTCATTCTTTACCCACTTCCTGTCCACAAGCAATGGGAGGGTTGGGGGTCCATCTGTCCAGAGGAGCCTGCTCTCCTTATGCTGTGCTCAGGTCAGTGATGTGGGCAGGCCATTCAATGAATCAAGGGGCCATCTTAAATCCCATTGATCCCCTATGGGACATATAGCGCAAATGATGGACAGCAGCCATGCAGGGTGGGATGGAGGTGGTGCCCCAGCAAGCAGTTGCTGTTCAGGTGGGGCTGGGTTGGGGCCTGAGTAGGTGGCGGCCATGTGGGGCAGGATTGAGGTGGTTCCCTGGTGAGCTGTGGCTGTGCAGGTGGGCCAGGTTGGTGGTCTATGCTGTCGGGAAGGGGAGGCAGAAGTACAGGATGACCAGAGGCTGTATTTCACTATGGCCAAATATAGTACTGATGCATGCACAGATAGCAATAGAATTTTCCTGGGAAGTGATGTCAAAGATTTGCCTGATGTACTTAATTTTGTCACAGAGATTCTATTGCAGGGCTATCTTTGCCCCACCCCCTTGTAAAACACTTTCCCAAATTAGCCCTCAACGTGTGCTGCTGGAACCAAGACAGCACATAGTTTGGCGTCACGAGGCCTGGGGAGCCCCTCCCTACTGACCTCCAAAAGCCCACCCCAGGTTTGCTTGCTAATCTTCAGCCGGGATATGTCAGCAATTGCAGCCTGTGGACAAGTGTAGGATAATCAGAAATTGTTTCCTTGTACAAGTGCTACATAGCCACGGGCTATACTTTCTTGGGGAGTCATAATCAATTTTCCTCTCTCCCCACTTAACCCCTCAATTTTAAAAAAACACACCATTATAGACGTATCTGCAGAGATCTGCTTGCCTCCTCTAATTCTGATGAATCTGATGAATCCGAATCTGAATCCAAGGTTCCAAATTTGAACAGTCATTGGTGTCCGCTAGTAGGTCCATAATTAGGTATGCTGCAATCCGTGACATCTTCTGCATAGTGCTCACTACAAGGGCCAGAAGGCTATGATCCGTGTTTTCTCGCCACCAGGGGCGGATGAGAGTGCTGCGGGGCCCTGGGCAGCGCCGCGGGGCCCCGGGCAGCGAAATTTTGCGAGGCCCCTCCTTTGACACAGTGCATGCGCGGGGCCTTGGGAAGCGCGCCCGGGGCAGTCTCCCCACTCGCCCTGCCCTAAATCCGCCACTGCTTGCCACGATTGCTTGAGTTGGCATGAAATCCGGAAATCCCTAAGGATGTCTGAGAAGAAAAGAGATGGCAGATGGGACATTTTCCACATTCCCATCATGCCTAGCACTACATTGCACATTCCCACTTATTGCTTAGCATGTGAAGGTGATGAAAGGCACTATGGGATCCATGCCCACAATGCTTTGCTCTTTCTGTTGACTAGGGAGCTGTAGATATGGCCATGAGTTGTCTACAGCGTGTACTGAAAAAAGGGTTTGGTGGGTTTCCAGTTTTGGTGACTCCTGCCTGTTGATAGCACTTTCATCACCAAACTTTTCAAATGTAGACATAGCCTTTGAGTTTGCAGGATCTTTCTGTCCTCTAGGATCCTGAAGGCAAATTTTGGGTTTTGGCTTTCAATTCAGCAAAGCACTTAGTTCATTTTTAAGTTCTTTGCTGAACAGGGATGGACTTAAGTTCATGCTTAATAAGTTCATGTTTAAGTGTATTACCCAGTTCGAACTTTTTAGCTATTCATCCAAGTAGTGCAGAAACGTTGTTGAGTACACAGTACATAGGCAGAACATGAATCCCTGCACTACAGGAGGTCAACTAACCTGCCTCATTTCCTCATCCCATTTGGAGTATGATGCACCTCCAGACATGCATGGAATGAACAGTCTCTGAATTCCTTTGAACACATGGATTACAACTGGTTAGCTCTTGCCCAGGCCTTACAAGGTAGTGAAAGAAGCTAGTGGCATTCTCCTGCTCCTGGCTGTATTCCAACACACTGACCCACACATTTGTTCAGAGCACCTTTTCCCAAGCCAGCCAGAAAACTCCAGCCCTGCATCTAAGTTCAACATGTAAATGAGGAAGTCACTGCTGAAGCAGAGGTGACTTCCACAATTGTTTGACAAATGTTTCTGTATACTGCAGCTTATTAGGAAGATAAAAGTATGAGCCTCAAGGTAATGACTGTACCCTACATTTCAGCATATTAATGAATAATGAATGTACATGTTCTTGAGAAATACCCTATGTTCCTAATATTTTTCCCTTGTTCTAAATAAAATCATAGTGCTTTTTTGTATTCTAGGGTTTTTTTTAAATGACCAGGGTGGGGGGATGGGAAAGTAATATACTCGTTTAAAAATAATGTCATCTTTTGGGGGAAAAAATCCCTGATTGTTTCAGCAAAATGGCCCTAAATCATTTATGAAAATATATCAGAGAATAATTTCCAAATGGATTTCTCACTCACAATAGTATTATGTGCAAGCCTGTCATAGCCCAGATACTTTAGTTTGACCTGGTTTGTAAAAGGATATTCAGAACTGCAAAATGTAATGTCAACTTTCATTAAATCTTTGACAAATGTATGTGCTCATTATTCAAACAGTGTTTCCACTGGCATATTCTATTTATCCTCCACTGCTTTGCTGAAGGTTTAGAAGTACCAATTCCTTGGGAAGACTACTTGTGTTTTTGGACTCTTTTTTCTGTTTCAATGACCTTTGAAAAGGACTATCAACAGCCTAATGTTGAGTGCTATCTGAACAAATATTCTAGCTTTTAAAAGTTATTTTAGGATATCATTATTATGATGTGGTGTGTCTCAGTAGATGCTGAGTATTTTATGGAATTAACAAGTTTATTATAATAATTTAATACACTTTGTTTATATTCTCCTACAGTATCCACAGTCTTGCTTATTTAGATGATCAAAAACAACACTGAATGTAATACCACAGTTGAAATATATATATAAACTAATGTGCATATAAAAACTCATTGTCATAATTAATTTTTAACAGAGAAAGGAAGAACTAAATAAAAAAGGATACATGACTTAGTACATTGTGATTGTGTCCAAAAACTGAGGAGTAATATTGTGCACATCCAATAGGAAGAGCAGCCTTCCTAGAATGTCTTGATTAAGAAGGACTGAATTTCTATCTTCCATCAAAAGCTCTGCCAGAATAACATAGCTGGCGAAAAAATATTATCTATTCAGTGTGCATTTAAAACAACAATGTCTAAAGCCAAATTTCCCGACTTGGGAAAAAAGTCTCAGGTGTAGCAGTGTTAGTCTGTAACTTTAAAAATAACATTTAGTCCTGTGGCACCTTAGAGACAACAAAATTATATGTTTTTGGTAGTCTCTAAGGCAGGGGTGGCCAACCCATTCTGGGCAAAGAGCCAAGATATCAGTGGAACCAGCGTGAAGAGCTGGGGACCTTTAAGAAAATGCTTTTAGAGACTTTTTGGCCACATCAGGCTCCTGCCGGCCGACGCCATCTTTAATGGCTGTGCCAGACAGCTCCCCACCCAGGTCAGCACAAGAAGCTGGGAGGAGAAGGCCATTTTGTGGGGTATGGGGACAGCTTTATGAACCATGGAGGGGGGAGGGCTTTGTGAGCCGCACCCAATGGCGGAGGAGAAGAGCCGTGGGTTGGCCACGGCTGCTCTAAGTTGTCATAGGACTACTCGTTACTCCTTGGAGACAAAACTTGACTTTGCCAAGGCTACATGGAAAGGGTAATGTGTAGCCACGTTGCTCCAAGAGCACATCAGAGAAAGAAATGTGACTCTGAAAAAGAGGAAGTAATTTGCTATTGGCTAACACCAATAGCAGACTACTTCCCTTTCTGCATCAGTTCTCTGGTTAGAGTGTGGAGAAGAAATGACTGTTCATTCTTTACCCACTTCCTGTCCACAAGCAATGGGAGGGTTGGGGGTCCATCTGTCCAGAGGAGCCTGCTCTCCTTATGCTGTGCTCAGGTCAGTGATGTGGGCAGGCCATTCAATGAATCAAGGGGCCATCTTAAATCCCATTGATCCCCTATGGGACATATAGCGCAAATGACAATAAGACCCTGTATGATTAGGGAACCAGAGCAGTTTGATTCCTTTTATACTTCATGGTTGTAAGTCAAACTAATTGATATTAGAGAATTTACTGTAAATGCCCTCTGCATTTACACCTTGGCACTCCCACCCTTTTTCTGAAGGCGTGTTCTTGCTTGTTCGGTCAGAACCAGTGGTTCCTCAACAATAGTTGCTGAGTAATTTATCCCAAGTAGTTCAACTTCCAGCTTCTGTCCAACTTTGCTGAGTTCTGTGGGGACATATGCAAAAGCCAAACTCTGCTGGGTACCGTAGCTATAATTTCCAGATGTGGTGTTGCCAACAACCTGGAAAAAAAAACCAACAAATGTTTATCCTTATTTCTACTAAATGAGCTTTGCACAATACTCATTTCTTCTTTTTAAAAATATATCTTACACTATTTTGAATACTTTCATCCTTTGTGTCATGCAGTTCACAGCATTCTGTTTTTGGTGCTATCAGGTAAGTTGGAGATGTCTCAACCAAAGAACCACTGGAAAAATCACCAGCAGGATGCTAAATTCCTATTACAATTAAGATTTCACCTGAAACAAGTGCTATTTACATTTTATATTTATGCTGAGTATTTGTATTGACTGTTAATGAATGTTTCAACATCTACTCTATAGTCAGGTGGTCTGGTGGCCTAAACTTTGGTTTGTGGTTTTGTTCATTTCTTCTATGCAAATACTTTTGAAATATACTGGAAGTAGAATCCTGTACTTGCAAAAGGATAAAATGGGTGATCTTTTCCATTTCTAATTTAAGAGATTCTAATTGTCAAATTCTTGTGTAAAATTAGTACTTGCTATCCTACACGGAAATTCAAAAATTATATTATTGCCCCAAACTGTCTTGTTCTAGTAAAAATAATCTGAAACACAGTCCTAGAGAATAAATTATAGTTTATTTTAAAGTGATGTGTAGTACTTACTCTGCCATTATGCCACACACTTTCATTTCCCTCTGGGTCAACATTAGCTGTTTTCAAGGTGAGATACACCAGTCGCCGTTTAAGCCCCTTTTCTTTAATCTGTTTCAGCGCTTGCTTTCCTATGAAATCTGCTGGCTGAAAAAGCAGAAGATAATGATGATGAATTATTATATAAGCCCTGTGACAAGGTTATAGATTCAAGTATTTAAATTTGTCTTAAACTTGTTTTCTCATCAATTAAATATTATATAAAAATGCAGATTAAATCAAACCTTGTGACAAATATTATTTCTTGTCCACAAACATGACACGATCAGATATTTTTCCTCTTTTTTTAGTTTAGATCTGAGACCTTTAAAACCCAGTATTCTAATTATAGGAAAAATAAATTTGCAATAAGATCCAGTATACAGCAATAGTGGTTGTTTACACTGGCTCCCTTAGTAATCTGAGCCAGAATGCCAGTACCTCTTTCAGGATATAATGAAATCATCTGGGCCATTGGCACATCACTACACAGACTACTATGGCCCTACTCCTCACTGGGATCCAGCATCTTGCTTGGACACAAGAATCATTTGCAAAAGTGACTAGAGCACCCCACATTCCTCTTTGGTCCCTCTGCTTCAAGAGGTGGAGTTGGCATTTTCTTCCCTAACCCAGCAGGGGTTTCTGTGTCAGGATGTGCTCTTCTTCCTACAGGACCTAACACTTCATGAGTTAGAGTAGCACCTCGACTATGACATCCTACCCTGTCAGCTGAACAGCAGTATCACTGGAAGCCTGCTTCCTCAGCCTCCCTAAAGAGGAACAGCAGCTACCCTGATCCTCACCGCTAGATCAGAGAAAATATGCTGTGGGAGGAGGCAGTCTTCCACTTGATCAGTAGTGTCACTCTGGCAATTTATGTGTGAATGAAGCTAGCAACAGAATGAAAGGATCAATGTGAGAAAGAGAAGGTGCAGGTAAGCCAGCACACAGGCACATAACTGAGCCATTAGCATGATGCGGGGAGAGGGGGGAGGGTGCTTTCCCATGTTACTAGGTAAACTGGAGGACTTAAAAACATGCTAGCAAAAGAGATTCATATTGAATCTTACCCTGGAAGATCTCTGTAGAGATGAGAGTCCTGTCCAGGGATATAAGGAAACAAGAGGGCTGTGTCTACATTGGCACCCCTTTCCGGAAAAGGGATGCTAATGAGACCAGTCGGAATTGCAAATTCCGCGGGGGATTTAAATATCCCCCGCGGCATTTGCATGAACATGGCTGCCGCTTTTTTCCGGCTCGGGGTTTTGTGGAAAATAAGCCCTAGTAGGAATAAGGGATCTTCTGGAAAAGGGCTTATTTGCCGCAAGATCCTGTCTAGACTCGTGCTTTTCTCCGGCAAAACCCCGAGCCGGAAAAAAGCGGCAGCCCTGTTGATTTTCTCCGGCAAAGCCCCGAGCCGGAAAAAAGCGGCAGCCATGTTCATGCAAATGCTGCGGGGGATATTTAAATCCCCCGCGGAATTTGCAATTCCGACTGGTCTCATTAGCATCCCTTTTCCAGAAAGGGGTGCCAATGTAGACACAGCCGAGGAGAAATCAAGAATAAACAGAAATGGCTGATCAATGTTATTGAATTAATTTCTGTGTAGCTCCTCAAACAAATGCCTGTATATCTTATTTAATATCTTTTTGGCAGCCATGCTCCAGATTATTGGAGATGACCTCCCAGACGGAGTTGAAATAACCTACAGGATGGATGGTAGCCTCTTCAATCTGGGCCACTTCAGAGCCAAGACCAAGACCACAATAATGTCAGTAGTAGAACTCTAATACACTGACGATATCCAGGTCAGTGCCACCTCACAAGATGGGCTCTAAGCAATCGTTGACATTTTCTCCATGGCCTACCACAGGTTGGGACTGACTTTCAATGCACGAAAAACCAAGGTTCTCTTTCAGCCAACACTCATCATATCTGAACCAACCATCATGGTGAACTACCAAGTCCTGGTGAATGTCAACAGCTCCCCTTATCTCAGAAGCTATCTGTCCAGCAATGCTGACATCAATGATGAAACATGCCACTGAATCTCCAGCGCCAGCGCAGCTTATGGATGTTTACAGAGGCAAGTCTTTGATGACTGTGATGTTTACAATGCCAGAGTCATCCCAAGGTTGCTGTATGGTGCTGAAGCCTGGATGCCCTCTAGATGACATATTAAAGATCTGGAGAAATTCCGCCAAAAGTACCTGAGGAGAATATGGGGCATCACGTGGCAGAACAGACAGACCAACATTAGTATCCTCACAGAGGCTGACTCTTGTAGCATTGAGGCAATAGTTGCCCACAGGCAGCTACGATGGTCTGGTCACATGGTCAGGATGCCTGACACATGCTTGCCTAAACAGATTTTCTATACTCAGCTAAGGACCAGAACGAGGTTTTGTGGTGGGCAGAGGAAGCACTACAGGAATGTTCTTAAGAACACCTTGATAAAGTGTGGCATTGACATTGACACCTGGGAGAGGCAGGTGAAGGATCGCGTAACATAGAGGACTACCATCAAGGATGGTGCCCAACACTTTGAGGTCAAGCGACATCTCTGTGAAGAAGATCAGAGAGCCCGATGTAAGGAGCGTGTCCAGGCCCATATTGGCACCACTGGTGTTGGCGCTGCTGCAGATAGAGATCTCATATACAACCACTGCCAGAAAGTGTTCCTTGCCAGAATTGTCTTAATTTCTCATCTACACACTCAACAGTTATAGGTGTCCAAGGGGAAATCTTACTGAATTCGAGGGATAAGAGAGAGAGAGAGAGAGAGAGAGAGAGAGAGAATTTCCCACCTTTCCATTCAGAGTGCAACATATTAATTTACATGTTTTTATGAAGAAAGGTGCAGGATAGTATAGTGGAGTCTGTGGTTTATATGTTATTGTCGCTAAACAGTATCTGCGTACACGGAATCAGAATCCCTATTACATGGGACACATTCATAGAATCATAGAATAATAGGACTGGAAGGGACCTCGAGAGGTCATCGAGTCCAGCCCCCCGCCCTCAAGGCAGGACCAAGCTCCGTCTACACCATCCCTGACAGATGTCTATCTAACCTATTCTTAAATATCTCCAGAGAGGGAGATTCCACCACCTCCCTTGGCAATTTATTCCAATATTTGACCACCCTGATAGTTAGGAATTTTTTCCTAATGTCCAATCTAAACCTCCCCTGCTGCACTTTAAGCCCATTACTCCTTGTCCTGTCCGCAGAAACCAAGAGGAACAAATTTTCTCCTTCCTCCTTGTGACACCCTTTTAGATATTTGAAAACCGCTATCATGTCCCCCCTTAATCTTCTTTTTTCCAAATTAAACAAGCCCAGTTTATGAAGCCTGGCTTCATAGGTCATGTTCTCTAAACCTTTAATCATTCTTGTCGCTCTTCTCTGTACCCTTTCCAATTTCTCCACATCTTTCTTGAAATGTGGCGCCCAGAACTGGACACAGTACTCCAGCTGAGGCCTAACTAGTGCAGAGTAGAGCGGCAGAATGACTTCACGAGTTTTGCTTACAACACACCTGTTGATACAACCTAGAATCATATTTGCTTTTTTTGCAACAGCATTAATTAAAGAAAAGTGCTACAGTTCCATAGCCAACACAAACCAACTCATTTCAAGTGCCAACTTTGTCTCCCTTGTTATCTGGGAATGGCTACTCTGACTGGAACCCTATATACCACATAGAAATTAAAATGACTGAATAAATACATGTTATTACAGAATCAAGCTTTTCCTACCCATGCTGATAGACATTCAGACTGAAACCTGACAAAGAATAGTTCCACCTGACTGTTTTATTAAAATAGATTAAAATAATATCTTTACATCTTTATGTAATAAAATAGTGAATCAAACACGGGAGTCTGCCAGCACGAAACTCTGCCTACACCATATTGCCCCTACTGTGACCATATTATGTGCTGGATCACTTTTAAACTTTCCATGAGAGAACTGTGACCCACAGTTTGGGGAATACAGTATCTTTGGCTAACTCTTGATGGAAAGATGATGTTTGCCGAAGAGGTTAATTGGTGTGGTTTAGGTGGCCAACGAACCCAATTTGTGCCTTGCAGATTTCCCCCACAGAAGTGACAAATGTAATCTAGGAGGTTGGCTAGTCTGTTGTGCCTTTTCTTTCCTCCTTTGTTCATTCTCTGATGAGCATGTCTGTTCTCCTCAAAGTGAGCCGTGGCTTGGTGTATGGTGTGGCACACTGTTCTGTTCCACACTAAGACTTCCCAGTATATTGAGTTGATGCATCCCTGTTTAAGGTGCACCTTCAGTATGTCCTTGACATGCTTCTGCTGCACTCCACAAGCCCTTCATCCCTAACGTGACTGAGAAGAATACTTGTATCAGGAACCGTGACAGGCATACATACACAGTGGCCAGCCCAGCAAAGTTGTCTTCACAGCTGTATGAGTACTAAAAGGTCCTTTAAATGTGCCTTAGACAACACTGGGGTCTTGTTAAGTTTGGACTGTAGTTAGTCAGGAGGTTTGCCTCAGACCTGCTTTCCAAGGGGGACCCTACCAAGAGTACAAAATCTCCAGATGATGAAGCTCTCAGAGGCTTTAGTCCAAGTTTCTCCACCTCTCCCTGCAGTATATCAGGGAGAAATAGATTATCACATAGCACTGAAATGGTGCCTAATGTGGTGAACTCATTTTACCATTCTCTTTTCTGGAGTATTTATCATGCTATTATTTCACTTCAGTTACTTTTAGGTGGAATAGGGATGAAGTGAGAAGAAACCCATTTATTTAAATATTTCTCACTTCCACAATGCTTTTTACTCAAGATTACAGAGGAATCTACACTACCATAAATCAATCATTTATAAATGGAAAAACAGTTTGCATGAAGGTTAATGCAGCATAATCAGAGCCTTGAGTATGACCTGACAACAGATGTGCACCGTTTTAATAGGTCACTTCCAGATTAACTGTATAGATTACAGTTAATTCTAATGAGTATATGAATCACTGGCACACTGAGGACTGCTAAAAATGTTTGCTTTCCAACTGTTAATTTTTCAGTATCAGAAATGTATGAAAACTTTTAGAGCAGGAAATTTGCAATA